GGGTAGATGAGATCGGGCACTCTTAGCAATAGAGTATGGTGAGAGATCAAGGGCTCTGCATTTCGGCATTTGATTTTAGACTGCTTGAATTCAAACCATAATCCGAGCAAGCTCATAATTAGAAGCAAATGTGAGGTTTAGTTACATTCAGCTTCATGCCAAGGAGGATCAATTTGTTAGTGGATGTAGTTTTCTAGTAAAATATTCTTTTTGTACATCTAGACTGGTTGGATTAGACAACCTGGGATCATCTAGACCTAGACCATACAGGGGTTTCATTCGCTATATAGTGCGCAACACAAGTGATTTTCACTGAACGCAAGCGATGTTTCGTAGCAACTTGCGGCTGCCGCAAGTCAACAATATGCCAGCTACATACGTATTTAGAAGTCAGACCCATTTTATTTTTATTTCTGTACGAAATTGAAGCGTAAATCACTCTGAATCAGAGCAGGAAGACACAGAAGTCATAGAATAAATCATAAACTAAAACAGGGAGGAAGGGAAGAGGTACTGCCAGTTAGAAGAGCAACAAAGGTAGGTGCAAGTAAAAATCTCTTGGCGCAAGTAATTGTTTAACCTAACATGCGGCATGTGCAAGAGTTTTTTTTAGCGAATTTCGACCCCTGCCATAGACCTAGACCAATCTGATGAATTAAAAACACGAGACCAGTCAACCAGCAAGCTGTGGAAGGAGGAGCGGAGTAAACGCATTACCGCATCGAAGTTTGGATCAATCAACAAAGGAACAGCACGCCAAAATTCCCAACTAGTTGCTGTAAGCATCATCGGGCAAATAGTAATATCTACGCGATACACTAGCCATGGACTAAAATTTTTCCCACCGACCTCCGCTACCGATCACTGTGTCGAAAACCGCGAAAACGAGGAACGCTTCGGCGCCGTCTGCGGCGGCGGCGGCGGAGAAGGGGGGGGGGGAGGTCGAGCAAACGTTTAGCTTGGAGACTTGTCGCGGAAGCGGACAAACTGTTCCGGCAGATGAAGGGCGAGAGCCGCCTCAGCCTGCTTTTGCCAGCAGGGATTGCTGGTACAGAAATGTGGTTTAATTATTGATAAGGAATACCCTCAGGCCTCGACGCTTATTTTCAGATCTGGTTGTCCTGTCGGGCAACAAGAAGCTATTTTTACTTGTCAAAAATTTTCTTGTGCAATCTATGAACCGTTAATGTCCTCTTTTGGTTCAGTGCATATCATATTATCAGGAGTGTATAATACAGTAGTGATGGGAATCGGCTGGAATTTTATAATCGATTATCGGTTTCCCTTAACCGATCGATAATCGATTATAATCTGATAATCGGTTAATAAGAATAGATTAAATTTAATGACAAGCTTATTTGCGTACGACTGTGAGGACCGCTCCCTGGACGTATCAGCGAGGTGGCTCTGTTTGTTTGTCCACGTTTGTCAATTTGTGTGTGTTTGGTGGTGTTGCGGGTGATGGGAGCGCAATAATTAAGAGCGCAATAATTACTTAGGTTAGGCTGTACAAAAAGTTTTATTTTCAGGTGTTGAAATCGATTTGTCCTGGAAAATATCTGATGCTGCATAATATGATTGATTGTGTTCAGAATGACTTTGACTCAGGCCATGAGGTATTAGTGCTTTGCGCAGCAGCATCCCACTTCGGACGCATCATTGAACTTGTGGAGTGTGGCGGGGATGGTTTCGACCATATCCGTCGTTTTTTTCCATCGCGCGTTTTAGACGGCCAGCACCCGGGATTTCATGATTTTAACGAATATGTAAGATTTTATGAATATTTTAATAGAGAAGGAACTTTAATCATTGAAAAAACCAACAACAATACTTATAGAAGGTGGGACTGTAACGTGTGTTTCCAACGTTACAGGACCCCATCCCTAATAATTCAGTAGTTAAAGGGTTAACCTCCATTAATTATTGCTATTAGTGCTCTTTCCGGGCGAAAGTTGTGCGTGAGAGTTGTGCGTGAGTGTGTTTGTTTGTCTAAGCCACCTCCGAACCACCCTCCAGATCACAGTCCGACGCAGATAGCTAATGATCCGCAACGCATTTCCTGCATCTGCAACGACTCCCGTTGTAGACTTCCTGGCTGGCAGGGAAGCCCCAGTAAACTCCCTGATTGATGCGCCGCCGCGTCTCACCGACGCCGCCGCCGCGTCTCACCGATGCCGCCGCCGCCGCCGCCGCATCTCACCGATGCCGCCGCGTCTCACCGATGCGGCCGCGTCTCACCGATGCCGCGTCTCACAGTTCGATTGATTTGTAAAATTGTTGATTTTTTTGAGTAAAATGCAATGATTTCTCACCTTCCTCTCAAATTCGATCACTGTTCACAGCGATTCTAGTATTCAAAACATCTAGTATGCTAAAAGACAAAGATGTGCGGTTATAAATGATAGAAGGCACGACGAAGTTATATTAAATACAATCGGTGCATAGATGTACATCGCAGTTCAGTCTGCTAACACTAACTAATACACTATACATACTATCATTATTTTATAGAAATATTAATTACAGCACAACGGCGTACGCACGTGCAATGGTTTATGTTGCAGAGGAGCATTTGAACGACATTTACAGAAAGTCATTAGGGCTTACTGTTGATAGGCGAAAGATAGTACAAAAACATTAAGACATTGGTAGTTTATATACCCTCATTTTATTATTGAAACGTTCCAAGTGGCTGTGGGTTCAACTGCTGCAAATGTTATGACATAATTATGTTGTTTTGCACCGCATCAATGTAGAGGGCAGCACCATGCGTATGTCGTACATGTACATGTACATGTAATAAGTCAAGAACAATGGAGAATCACAGGAAGAGAGTATGTGTGAGTAGCTCAGCAGCAATTATTGCAATTGCTATTCGACGCCGCCGTCGTCGCCGAAAACAAAACAAGCCACGTTTATGGACCAGACCCTGGATTATGAAAAGAGACCAGTTTGGGGCCTATCATTGCCTGCTTCAGGAATTGAGGGCCTCAGACAGAAAAGCCTAAAGAATTTCCTGAGGATGGATGAAGTCTCATTCAACGAAATTCTGAACAGGGTAGCACCACTAATACAGAAGGAAGATACACAATGGATACTTTTCATACTCTTGAATTAAATCAACAATTTCTTGGAAACTCCAGTCCCTGTCTGATTTCGTTACTTTACTGGAGGTTGCCATTTTGTCCATCTGCAGGATCACATGACTACAAACTGTCATTTGATTGGCTGAGTTCTTCCAAACCTCAGCAAACTAGTTTGTCAAGAAGGTGCACGGCCTAACTTCTGCAAACTAGTTTGCCGAAGTTTGTCAACTGGTTTACACTGGCAAACTTTGGAAAACTTTTCTTGCCAAACTCGGAGTTTGCTCGAGTTTGCAAACTAAAGTTTGCTAGTGTAGACAGGGCTTAACACTCCGTGCAATGCGCAGTTTGACAAAGTTTTTACTTTCGACAACAACTTTATGCATCACCTGCAAGATGATGAGAACAGAAGACGAGACTCTACACTGCTACTCTACTTTGCTATCTACGAAACATCGCAACCATTTGCTAACTCTACGCTGCTACAATTCCGGAGCTGAGGTTACCACCCAAATAGAAGTAGTACAACAATTGGTGGTACGATTGCGAACAATAGTTTACGATAGTTAAAATTGTATAATTATATTATACAATTGTTTCTAATTGTTTACGATGCGGGTACGATTTCGCGACGCGGCGTACTCTGTCACTCTGCGACGGTACTACGAAGCATCATCTCTACTGTTTGCTAACAAGTTTACTCTGTCGGCTCTACGAGAACCAGAACAATTGATGGAGGATGCGGGTACTTCTCCTCCTCGTCTAATCCTACTCTCGGACACCAGGGATTTAATTACTATCACCGTTCTTTCCCAGTACAAGTTACAACTATATGTAACCTGTAGGGAAAACACGGATGGGCGGGCGGGCAGACGGACGGACGGACGGACGAACGGACGGACGGACGGACGGACAGACGGACGGACGGACAGACGGACGGACGGACGGACGGGCGGCCACAGGGGTGGACGAATGGATGGACGAATGGGCAGACTGGTGGACGGAGGGACGGACAAGTGGACGAACTTCCTTTTCCGTTTCACTCCCTTCCCCTCAGGCTTTGCCTCCCCCTCTCCCAATTGTTGTGTGCAGTGGCGTAGTGAGGGGTGGGGGGCAAAGGGGGCCGTGGTTCACTGGTTGATCCAAGTAAAAAAAGAATTGTTTTACTAAAAAAGAATTGTCCTAGTCAGAATGAAGGCTGTACATGTACTCAAAACTGCCTCAAATACCATCTCCTGCTATCAACATTTTATCAATTTTCTGGGGGAGGACCGCCATACCCCCCTTTCCGTTTTTCACCCCTTCCTTTTATATCTTGGTAGCAGAGAACAACAAACAAAAATGTCGCCTTTATGCGTAGCGCCTGAAACAAAGATTGCAGAGCTGAGAGGTGAGGGAACGTAGGGTGTGAAGTGGGAGGCGGAGGAACCATTTAAATATTAAGTCATCCACTATTTTGCGCAGTTCGCTGTTTTTGGCCCCCCTGTTATGTTAAAAGATCCTGGCTACGCCACTGGTGTGCGTTCATGTGTGTGTGCATGTGCGTGTGCGCGTGCGAGTGTGTGCGTTCATATGCATGTGCGTGTGCGCGTATGCGTCTGCGTGCGCCGTGAGCGTGTGCGTGCGTGCGCGTATGAGTATGCATGTGTGTCTTATACGTGGATTTACGGCTATAATACGCGTTTTTACAGTCGTACAAACACACATACACACACACTAACGGATGCGCACACGCGGGCAGGGCTCGAATTAACCGACGGCACCGACGGCAATTGCCGGCGGTGCCCCTATCAATCGCCGTACTGCCCCTGAAAATCCAACCCGACCGACGGCAGTCACCTGCCTTGCCCTTTTCTGTAATTGCCGTCGGTGCCTCTGGCTAGACTGGTTCGCGGTCACACTGTTTGTCGCAGAGCGTGAGGCCGGATTCCAGTCTACCCTCCGGTAAAAACAATAACCGTAAACGTGGCTTGCTGCCAACCGCTGCCAGTAGACGATCGATAAATCGTGCGCCTGTGTATGCCCGTGGTAGAACACGCATATTTATGCTGCACGTGGACTCGGCCCGCGCGCGATTTAAAGCGCGGGAAACGACGCTCGCGCAAGAATGGCTAGCTGTGATCTGTACGGTGTGTAGCTTGCTAAGTGCAGTAAATTTAGAGAAATTTTAGTAGAATTCATACGATGACACAAAGTTTTTCATAACAATGGTCTGGGTCTGGGCTAGTGAAAGTTAGGTCAGGGCTAGTGGTTTTTCTCAGTTACTAGCCCGATGGTCTAGTGAAATAAAAAGTTAACGTTGAACCCTGTTACTGTACTTCCATTAGCAGAGGTTAATTTGATGTATTAATTTGTTATGAGTTTTCCTTTATTTTACAAAAGTGCCTTGGTGCCCTTCTCAAATTGTGAGAGTTGCCTTGATGCCTTTTAAAATTGCCTCGGTGCCCATCCATTTTAGAGAAAATTCAAGGCAATTTCTCACATGCCCCCAAAAAATTGCCTTGCCCCTCTCGTCACTTAATTCGAGGCCTGCACGCGGGTATTATAGGAGCAAATTCAATTCCCATAATATACACGCATCTCCCGCTTCATTCCTCCCTCCCTCCCTCCGCCCCACCCTCTTTCCTTCTGCCTCCCTCCATCTCCCTTTCCCTCAGTCTTTGCCTCCCACTCTTCCAAATCATCACCCACGACCAGTGAAGCATGAAAAATGTTCACGAGGCAAACGGCAGTATTTCAGGTTTCAGGTTCTTTTTTTACCCCCCCCCCCCTGATTTTTAAAACATCAAAGATATAAATAGAAAAACGTGCTTATTAGTTCATGAGTTCATGAGTTCATGTTTTTATTTTTTCAAAATTAACAAATTGAAAATATATAAACTTAACTCACTTTCAGCATGTGTACACTGTTACCAATGCATGATTAATTTTTTCATTAAATGATGCAGGTTCAAGTCCCAAGTGCAGACGCTGACATGGCCAGAAGTGTATCAAAACTACGCAGCCGATCATTCTAACATCCTGGCAATAGCAGATCTCATCATTACACTTCCTGCTACATCCTCGGAGAATGAGAGAGGCTTCAGCAAAATGAAGCTCATCAAGACCACCAGCAGGAACAAGCTTGGGACACAGACTCTCAACAACCTGATGACCATATAAACCTGAGTACCGAGAATGTCAGAAACTTTGAACGGGCGGGTGCGATGAATAGATGGCTGAAAGCATCACATAAACCCAGAAGGCCAGGATTGATGGACGATGATGGGTGTGTCTCAGCAGCAAAGAGACTCCGTTTGGATGCCGACAGTGATGTTACGCATGTTGAAACTGTAGCTACAGTACATGTGGAAGCAGCTGCAGCGGCTACATCAGGTGCTATAGATGAGGAAACAGCAGCTACATCAGATGCTGGAGGTGGTGATAACGATAACGCGGAGGAGGAAGACAATGAGCTTTCAGATGAGATGTGCCTTGTGTTTTTGAGAAATTTGTAACTATGTAGTGACGGGTACCGAGGTACCCTACACTACTACTACTAGGTACTATTGTGATCAATAAATTAAATGTGTAGTTTAAATCAATGGTGTTTTTTTTGTTTTTCCACTATTGTTTGACAATAATTTTTTGTTTTAAAATTTGGGCGAGTACAGATTCCATTCGGGCGAGTTAACTTATTGACTCACTCGCCCAGTTTGGCGAGTAGTTTTTTTAAAAAGCTCTTACCCTGCGAGTCATTGTGAAATAGGGGTGCAGATCGAGTGTAGACATGGCGGGGGTTTTGGGGGAAAACAGAGATGTAGGAGTGAGGAGTCTGGTGTGTCGCGAGAGTAAGCACACGGGCTTACGCGTGTGTGCGTGTTTCTTTGTCTCTTGGTGCAAGATGTGACTATATATACACTGTGTGACAGATATTAAAGTTTATCCAGGTTACCACAACAAGTTTGGATATTCTCATATATCATTTTAATTCATACATAACAAACATACTTCAACGTAACACTGCACAGAGAAATATGCAAGGAAGGAGAGTCTAGCATGGCTGCACTCTGCGTGGTGGCTTATCGGTGAGTAGTAGCGCCCGAATGACTTCTCTTTAACACACCTGTTCCCTTTGTGCCTGTACGATCACCACCCACAACGAACGAACAACTAGCCTAGAAACCTACAACCGACTAAACCGCCTTCAGTAACCATCATTCGAGACAACTACACCATTCCGCGATCAAGAAATGACAATTTGTCACAAGGGCTGAAATTACGGATCCACAGCGGCGCCCAGGAGGGGGCGGTCGAGTCCAGGCGAGAGGCCTGAGTCAGGGGGTTCACCAAGTTTTTTGGCCCTTTCAACTGACCAATACAAGCATAAAGCACTTAGGCAACACCACATCAGCAACAGAATTGTTACAGCAGCATATTACAGTCACTGGCAGGGAGTATAATCCTCGCACTGCTCATTATCATACCCAGAATTAATATCATCGACACCAAAATTTACTTACTTCTCCGCAACAAAATTATTTCTATTACACTTACACACTGTCCCGCAAAAAGACCCTGAACGCTTTATATAATATACAGATGTTCCTCTGTCCAGCCCGCAGTTTCATTGTTTTTCTGGTCCCAACGTGAACTAATATTATCATCATTGAACAACTTTAGCGCTTGTCCTGCTGCAGCAGCGCAAGTCTGTGAGGCCCGGCACAGTAATCGACATCAGGAAGGAAACGCTTTAATTGCTACCCACAAGTGCGCAAAATCCTCCTTGCGCGCCCACCCCCGATATAATTTCCTAACACCTCGCGCTACTGGCAGGCGCGGCGAGTCTCGCCGCGAGCGCATTATATTTTTTATAGTTTTCAATAGTCACCTGAAAAAGGCAGTCGCTCGCCGACAACGCGCACGTTTATGATATGCATAATATGTATATAACAGAACCTTCGGATGGCGAGAAGTGAAACAGTTCGTACCTACGTTTCCTACCTACCACGGAACAGTCGCAGAGACTGGGCCGGCCTACTCATCTAAAACGAGCCTCAAGACCCCACCGGGACGCGCGCGCTTTTGATGTACCGATCGATCGATCCGGCGCNGAAACTTTTTATGTAGCGTAATTATAACCTAAATTAGCTGAAAATAACCCTAGAACCTAGAGTAAACTCTCCCTTTAAGTGGAATTCGGGTGTCACCTGGTCTTCCGATCCAGGTTTTTAGTCATTCCAAAATGGCCGCGCCCTGTCGTGTTGTTGTGGTTTGAAATAGAGTGTTCGGTGTAACCGAAATCTCTACAATATTACTATTAGTATTACTGTATTAGTATTAGTACTATTACTAGTAGGTATTAGTACTATTAGTATTACTAGTATTAGTATTACTATTAGTATTATTAGCCCTTTGTGCCTCATAGGGGTAGATGGGGTAGTGTGATACATCATGCACACAACCTCCTGAATAAACCACGCCAGTCTAAGTGATAAACTTGGATTCCCGCTGAAGTGGCAGGGCTTCAGGGTTGGGGTTAAAAATAATATATAGCCAGGTAAAATGGATTAACTTAGGGAGCGTTCACAAATGATGACACATGGTGACAGGGGGAGGGGGGTTTTCCATCAAGTGACGTCACCAAGATATATTATTTTTGTGGACTGGAGCAGGAATATGATTTGCAATAAACTGTTATTATCGACATTGTCAATAAATTTTGTCGTTTAACCGAAAGGCGAGAGTAATGGGCTCAAGGATAGAGAGCATGTCCAGTAATAAACATCATCCTATCCTATCACCGTCCTGGACATCATCTCTATCCTTGAACCGAGTAATGTGTTTCCCAGTTCAATTTTTTTTAAATATATTTGTTACTAAATACTATTTTACAATTACATTAGTTATTTTTAACTACTGACAGTACTGTTTAATTTTATCACAATTTTTTATTAAAACTGAAAAGTAGAATATGAAACTTTAAATGGCTGACGAGTTCAACAAATCATCTTACTTTGTTTGCGATTTTGAATGGGGCGGTCTGCCAAGAATGGTGACGTCACCATGGGGGGTTCCTCGAAAGTGACACTTGGTGACAGAGGGGGGGAGGGGGTCAAAAAAGTCCAAAATCGAGGTGACGTCATTTGTGAACGCTCTCTTAGTATTTTACGCAATAACTCCTACACCTGTCCTATTGCAAAATTCTATTCAGTTTGTGCATAGGTGTGAAGGTAGTGTAGAACAATGAAAGTTAGCACGTTTAGTGTGTGTAAACTTTTTGTTACACCACTTTATTGTAGAGGTACCCATTGTTTTACATTTATTTTAAAATCTTATTAAAAGACACCTGTTAAATATTACATGATTTGGATTACTTGAATATTGCCATGTATCACTTTGAATGGCGCATGAAACAGGTACCTAACCAGTGTAGCTGTAGGATCGCTGATTTAAATTTTACTACATTCGAAGCATTCATGGTTCGCACAGTCCTTGAAAAGTCCTTGAATTTGAGGAGAGTCCTTGAAAAGTACTTGAATTTAGTAAATGTTGATTTTGTGCTTGAAAAGTCCTTGAATTTTTAGAAAGAATCCTTGCCTGTAATAAAAAGAAATTTTGTACCATCAATAATGTGCAAACCTCAATAAAAAGTTGCGTTAAATGAGCTTAAAAAGCTATAGATACGATAGACAGTTGATCACAACTTACAGTAAGTCAGTAAAATCGGTCAGTAAATCAAGGTATGTTGTAGAAGTGACAGTGTTTAGAAGGGTTTATTAATGTGATCCAGGTAAGTTTTAGAGGTGACAGTGATTAAGAATGGGGTTATTATTAAATTAATCCAGGTATGTTTTGTTCTGTGTATGAATTTCAATAAAATGTTCAATAAAATTTCCTTGAATTTCCGATAAAATTTCCTTGAAAAGTCCTTGAAAAAATTTTCAGTCATGTATGAACCATGGTATTGTAGAGTGTGATTTGAACCAACAAGATAAAGTACATGGATAGTAAGTTTACTTCTTCCATGTTGCAGGAGAAGGTTGTGTTGGCATCACTAATGTTTGGAGCCATCATGTTTGTACCAGGCTATATTATGGTGAACATCAAGGTAATATTGTATTTAACATCGTAATAGCACTTTAATAGCACTTTGCTGTACACTCAATATCAAGCTCTTTATGTGAATGTAAAATAGGTGGTGATTTTTTTTTATGTGTTACTAAAATCCTAATCTATACTTAAATTAATCGAGTTTTTCGTCATTTCAGCACTACAAAGCAGGCAATTAGACGATGTCTCCAGGACATTAGATTATAATGTTAGATGCATATTCCTGTGGTTATATACGTCGATGGAACAAGACAAGATGCTCTTCTACCAATTTGTTCGCAGTATTTTATGGATGATAAGCATATAATATAGTTTACTTTGAGTGTGTTTCATGAAATAAAAAGAATGTACTAAATTTTCAGTTATCAATTTTCAATTCCTCAGTTAGTGTCAATAAATGAATATGTAAAAAAGGCTTTAAATGGTGTTATCTAAAATCTAGTTACACTACTAGTTATGTTCTACTTGCTACTAACACATCCACACTTAAAATGAAGCCCTATAAAGAGACATTTATAACAGTTGAAACAGTGTTATGCAACAGTTGACAGCTAACACGAGTATATTTAGTACATGTAGTACATATTTAGTATGTGTAGGAGTGAATGATGTTATATATACCTGTTAAATATTTAAAGATAAAAAAGTAATACTCCATGAACAGGTATAGTTTAAGTTCTCAATCTCCACATTAAATGGGAAATGATGGGTTCCCAGTTTTCCACGTAAAAAATGTGCCACTTCTCAGTGCCAGACAAATTAAAATTGCAATTTTGACTTTCACGTTTTCTGGTTTAATACCATTCCCGAATGGAGGAAAATTTATCTGCAATTTGTAGCTTCCCAGACTAATAGAATTGTCTCATCCTTCATCTCGAAAATAACTTCCCCTCAAGTGCTAAATAGTGTTTATATATGCATGATCCTATTCTTAGCAGTAACAGCTTGTGGAAATTTGGCATTTGAAATTTAACAGTCAAAGCTAATTGTTTGATGATACACTCTTTGTGAACAACTTTAATGACACTACATGTCAAGGCAGGGTGCATGCATATCTGACATTGCTTGAATTACTGTTGGGAATACCGTTACATATAGAGAAAGGAAAACAGCAACTCTAGCAAATGTCGAAGGCAATGCTCTAAGCATTTCTAATGCTATTTAAAAGAGAAAAATGTGTGGCGCATGCGTTTGAGTAATTCCTGTGATGCTTTGTGCATTCAGAGTGCACACAAAATTACTAGTAACTATGTAATATTTTACTTGTTGGAGAACCGGGAAAAAAATTGGTACTTAGAATGCACTAAAATTGCATTAAATCTAAACTGCAAAATATTTGGTGCAGGAAATTGCATTATTTTGCATTATTCTTTCGAATATTTTCGGACAGAGCATGCGACCGAATCCGCTAGCAAAAAAAAACTAAAGTTGCTACGTAGTAACTGAACCTATATAGCAACTTATTGCTGTATCATTTAAGCAAGAATATAAAATCAAATGTTCCGCATATGCGTCTAGAATGAAGAATATTTTATTGTTTCACTTGATATCTTCAAAATGATTGTTAATGTAGCAAAAGCCCCACCAACAATGGGACCGTCGCGTTATGTAGGTGCTGCTCGCGGCGCCCCATGACCGAAATAAGGGATTCGTAAATAAAGTGCCGTTGAAAAACCACGTAATAAATTAATATATATACTTCAAGTAGGCACACTTGGAATCATAAATTATTTAGATAATTTTCACCTATAGATGACACCAGTAGTTACGTTGACAGCACTGATCTCTATATAGGCCTATTAACTTAACACACATATAAATAAAGATCAGTGTTTGATAAACACACTATGCAGCCTAATATGCATAACACCTAATATGCATAACACCTAACACCTAATATGCAGCCTAGCGCACTGAAAGATCCCTGTCGGCTAGCTACAAGTCGCGCAGCAGTGCGTTATTATAGAATAACTTATTATTAGTCTATGGTGTTGTGCTACGTCATCATTGTTGACCAATCACGGTTGTAGATATTTATTATATACACATAGTAGTAGTAGTATTGATATCCCTAGTAGGTATAGTAGATATCAGCGCAACAAACTGGCGCCTATATGCACGCGCCGTGACTAAAATGTGGAAACCGATGTAGGGGGTGCCCTACGAGCTCGCATCCCTTCGGTAAATAAATGAGTATGTATATACCACCAGATAATGTGAGTGCAATATTTAACACAGTTATTAGGACGGACGGATGTAAGCGTGGACACACCATGCGAATTTAATCGCACGTCCGCAGCGATTGTTAACGGTCGGTGGAACATCGGATAGACAAAATACACACCGGGCAAGAAATACAGGCACCGACTAAGAAATACGCCAACCAGCTCAGGAATGCACGCACCGGCAGAGAAATACACGCGCCGGCTAGGAAATACACGCATTGGCCAGGAAATACACGCATCGGCTAGAAAATGCGAACATCGGTTGCGAAATGCACACGTGCATGGACTGAGAAATACACGAACCAGCCTAAAAATGAACGCATCGGCTGAAAAATACACGCGCTTGTTAGAATATACACGCATAGGCTGAGATATACACGCATCGGCTAGAAAACACACGCATTGGCCAGAAAATACACGTGTAGCGTTTGTCGCGTTGCCTGTCAGAATATTGGCCGTAATCCTGGTCACACGCCAGTGTAACGTTTCTCCGCGTGGTGCATGAATGACCTTCGTCACGGCTCACCAGTGTGAAGTCTCTTCTGTTTTTGTGATCGTATAGTAGCTTGTTGCGTTGTGTTTCTTAACCGACCGGCGGCTGTCGTCTGCTACCGTCGCCGGCGTTTCGTCAGGCTTGCGGAGTGCGTGAGTGTGTGTGAGTGTAGCTCGACAGAGATTCCACACGTAGCCGGGAAATACCTTTAGTGGCGCGTAAGAAGCCGTTTATTCATTGACAGTGATACATCCGCATTGCAGAATTTACAACAATAAAGTTAATACGCCCTTGGTTAATGTTCACGTTACCCGCTATCTAGCTCCCTTCCCCCGGTAAATGTTTCCGATTAAATCCTAAGTTCCTAATCTACATCTTTACATCTCCATAAACCTCCTCTCTTCTACCCTCTATTTCCATAGTCATCTATCTCCCTCTACTCCTAGTGTCTTCTCTCCTAAGTTCTAACAACCCCGGCTTTTATATCCAGTCGCGGATTGAGTTGCACCTCTGGTTGCACGTTGCCACTAGCCAATGGCTGCATCTCGCGCCAAAATGACACACTCCGCGTCCTCTTATTTCGCGAAACATATGACGCGTTCTTTTATAAAATACAAGCACGCGTTCACAAAACCTTCGAAAAACAATCGCGACAACCCTTGCGCTTGTCCTTCTGACTTTGTTAGATCGTACTATACTACGCGGTTATACCCTTATATCACGCCCCCCCCCCGGAATTAATTCCCATACAAAACCCCCTCATACAAATCATGACGTACATACACATTCCGCGACCCGGCTTGCTACACTGAGTATTGGCTGTGAGGTATGCGCCCCGGGGGGGGGGGGCACTCCATATATATTGCATGGTAGGTATGTGCCGCGGGAGAGACCCCCATTTTCAACCCTGCCTTTTCAACCCCAATTTCTTCCGTTCCAGTGCATCGCATTTTTAAGAATATCTCGTTCCAGAGCATCACAAGTTTAGTTACCATGCATGCAGATCTTACATTTTTGCCGTTCCGGAGACCCTAGTTTTTAACATTTCCGTTCCAGTGCATCGTACGTTGAAGCCGGGCAGTGAAGGCATGCATGCAACGCATGCGCATAGCATTTCATAGCATTGCATTTCAACGAAATCCTAGTTCCGGAGACGCCCATTTTCGAACATAGCCAGTTCCAGAGCATCCCACATTCAACAAACATTAGCTCCAGAGAACCCCATTTTCAGGTACCTAAACATCAACCAACACTCAATACTCTGTCATTTTTGGCACATGCACGCTTGCATGCAAGGGTGTGCAACGCAAGAGGAAGGAGTTGGGAGGGTAAGTGGGGTAAAATGGTAAATGGGGTACCCATAATGTGGGGTAAATGCCCCCTCGCCCGGGGTATGCGCATTGGCTGAACAACGCCAGATAGAGAGAATAGTAGTCGGCTGTCCGCTACAATAAAAATAACCCCTAATCTATTGTTCAGTGCATGTGAGCTGGTACTACGTGATAGTCCTTTCTTAACTTGCTCTCAACTCCTTTCTCTTGCGTTGCACACCCTTGCATGCAAGCGTGCATGTGCCAAAAATGACAGAGTATTGAGTGTTGGTTGATGTTTAGGTATTTGCAGTATATATCATGTGGTGCCCCACGCTTATTATGGAGGTGGTACCCCACAAACATGCATAGACAAAGTGCTATCTATTCATGTTTTACCTCATATAGCGGTACGTTTGTATGGGTAGCGGGAAAAGTTGTCTGCCCATGTCATTGTTCGCACGAAAATCATTGTCGCCGCATATCTTGTGACAATCTGATAAACAATTGTAAAAATATTGAATTGAATTTGGCCATTCCTGATGCGGTATCTAAATGCAAATTTATGACTCACCGACAGAGACACGGCGAAAAAAATCAAGATTTTCATATTTAGTGTAACGTAATTTTCCGCATGACGCACAGCTTAATTCTACAACGTTCATGATTTCCTCATAAACATCATAATCTAATAAACTAATACTGTATAAGCTAATTAGAAAAAACCATAAGCCATCTTCGTCCTAAGGCTGTTCAACGGTGTCTGATAGCAGAGACAGTTTAGGGTGCGGGCCATGCGGTTACTTCTGACGTACGTGTGCTGGCCCATGGCAGAAGCAGAGTAACCCGTAGACTGTGTCATACGTGATGTAGTCAGGAGTTTATGACAAACAACCACACGCACGTACGCACGCGCGCACACAAACATACACGCATACATACACACGCACGCACGCAGGCGCACACACACACACACACACACACACACACACACACACATACATACACACACACACACACACACACACACACGCACACACACACACACACACACACACACACACACACAC